CTTCAAGGCTTCTGGAATTAACTGTGCCATCGCCATTACCATACTGTAACTTAGGATACTTAAGCGGGAATTTTCCTGGTCCAAATATCATTCTAAAATATGACAAATATATATTTAAAAATACATAAGATTTGACAAAAACAACTTAAACAAACTTTTCAACTGTTGGAATCGTATCGCCGTGCAAACAATGGACTTCTACACCAGGTGGTCCAAAATCCATATACTGTTTAACGTCTAAGTACATATCATAACCAGTCATGTAGTCTAAGCCTCTGTAATTATGAAAAATATTTAGAAGAAATTATTTTCAAACTGAATGAAATAACTTACTCAAAAAATGATTTATAGTCTGCCACTGTAAAATTTTTTGAATCAGTTTCTACTAAAACTTCATCAGACTTCCAAAAATATGGAGATGGTAAAAGCCATGCTAAGCTAGGAGATGTAATTTGTTCAGCTTTCAGAACATTACCACTAAGCACATAAACTCCTAGGTCATCACCTGTAATATAAATGACATATTTACCATAGATATAAAATGTTAATGTACAATTTTCTTATTCTCTATTTATTTCTTTCAGCATACCTACAGCAAAAACTTTCAACGCTTTAACAGCTCCACCCCAAGCACCAGCCAATGAAACCATTGCTCTGACATATTGATCTTTCCACTTCTGTGTTTGAGATCGCAAAAATTTCAACGTCATACATCCTCCCATGCTGTGTACAATGAACACAACTGGTGTATTATTATTTTGTTGGTATGTTTCTTCAGTAAGTGTCTTAAGTTTTACAAAAAACTCTGTGTTTTCATCTATGAATAATGGAGATTATATTAATGTGTTAGGAAATATTTTTTATTTTTTATTCTTACTAGGAGCTTTTCTAAAATCATAAGGTGCTCCCCGAATAGAAACATCTCGTTCAAGACCAGTACCAACTAATGTATCACCAACACTCTTAAAGTAGGCGCCAAATGTAGATAAACTAGGGTCAATATATTCAACAGCAGAAGAATTTCCCCATCCAGGTACTCTTATGTCTACACCTGGAGGACTGTGAGTAGTATGTGTAACATTGTCATATATCAGTCTCATATTGTCTATCTAATCATTAAACCAAGTTTATGAGTTATTAAATTAACTAAACCTATTACTATTTACTTACCAAACAGTCTATTACATATGGCACTAACAATTCGAGGTTCAACCAAATGTTAGAATAATCATTTGTTTTTTTATCACATAAATAATGAACAACACTGGGTTTGTTCAATTTGGCATCTATACGACTACCGCCATCACCAGGAACTAAATATAAAACAATAAACAATTTTTTATTATAATGCATTTATTGGTTGTATTCCTACATCAATTATTGTTGTCCTTAGGATCATTTAGTGATGCGTACAAAGCTATTTAGCATCAAATATACTTTTGGAATAGTTTGTTTTTTATATTGTATGTATAGCAGAAAGATTTTGATCTTTAGTTAGGAAAGTTCAATAGATATTTTAAATACGTAGGTATTGATAGTTGATACACCTATAAAAAATATGACCTTAAGGAGTATAATTTTGTTTATTTTATTAGAAGTAATTATTACACATACTCATTGGTGTGAGAACCAAAAAGACATAAATAGTAATGTAATACAGATATGTAAATAGTTAGTTATTCTCAAGTCCTAAGAATAATTTTAATTACAACTAAGAAAGTGTTATAGATTAATGTGTTTAAGTAATATTCAATAATATTCCAGAAGTAAAATACGTCAATCTAAAATATTAAATGTAACATGTTATAATCTTTAAAAAAATTATATGTATTTATATATATGTTGATCAATAGTGTATTTAAAAATTATTACACTGATATGAAGAAGTATTAAAAGAGTTTTAACTTACTTTATGATCAATATTTATTATTATCATTAGTATCTTACATTTATTTATTCTAAAAAAAATATTAGTAGTACATTATTTATGTGTTGAAATATTAATTTATCAAATAGGTACATTAGGTATTTAAAATTTATTAAATCACTAACTTCTTTTTATAGAATAATATATCAAATACAAGTAAATTGAGAGAAATTTTTTATATTCAATTACATTTGATTTTAGTCATAGTATAAGGCAGGGATGGCAAATTATTTGAACACTATGTGCTTTTTTTTTTTAATATCATGAAAAATATTAAACATCATACCTAGGTATAATATGAAAAAAATTTAACGTAATTTTATTTTATAATCAATGTATTAACTTAGAAAAGATTAGTTTAAATACCTACATAATATAATAACATAACTTTATAAATAAATTATTTTTTTTTTAAACAGGTACTTGTGGCAACATGACTGAGAGAACATAAAGTCCGCTGCCAAAATATATATATATATATGTCGTAACCACTTTGTGAAATCAATCTTTTCATGTATGCGGCCGACTATAAACTCAAACTAATGCCACGGTTTTTATTTCATCTTATATACCTAGTGCAGTATGCCTGAAAATACAAGGTGATGCGCATGCGCGAACTAGGTCAAAAACAAGAAACGTGTTGAGCATACGTCTTATTCCTTATAGTATGATTTTAATTATTTAATATTTAAAATGCATCAACTAGAAAATATGTGCTTACCTATGGTTTGGATTGAAAAATTATTTTTTTAAATCTTATTGAACCTATAACTTTTTCAATAAATTGTGATATACCTATCTTAGCAACAAATAAAAATTAATTGATAGTATCGTGTAAATAAAATGGAATTAGTATTAAACACATTAATCATATTAAATTATTTACCAATATGAAAAGTGATATAATAATGTACTTAACCTTCATATTAAGCGTAATCTTAAATGATTTGCCTAATCAAATTCAAATTATATTTAAAGCTAATACCAAATAATTAGTTATTTTATTGTTGTAAATATTTAAATTTTATTATGTTTGGTTAATATGTTTCAAATAATAATGCATCCAATAATAAATATTGTCTATTATAATTTTAATAACATACAATTACAATAGTTAGCTTATTAACCGAACAATTTTATAATTAATTTAGCTATCGTTATTTTTTTAAGTGGATAAAGTAATGTGATTAGGCCATGAACATAGTTTAATATTTAATAATYAATAACTAAGAGGTGTTAGTTAGTGAAGAAAATGACCTTCAAATCATAATATACCTTTTTCAATAATAACATTTGAAAATCCATAAAATAGTTTTTTTATAAGGTGTTTCAAAAAAAATCATTACATAAGTTACTTAATAGGTGCAGCCAGGTAAGAACACATAACACCAAACGAGRCGGTATGAGGATTGATGACTACTAAGGCGTAGAATAAAAGTTAAACTGATAATTGTAAGATGTAACAAGAACTAATAAATAATAAATAATAATAACCATAAACGAAGCATTACGCACATCCGTAGGACATATGATAACATAGAGCCAACGACTCRSTCAATGATGGCGCACAGGCCAAGACTCACCTAGGACGACTGGATATCTGACGGATGCGGACGTCGCGGTCAACAGCCACACGACGATGGCCAAGCCGTTGATGGGCCACATTGTTCAAGTTAACGTCTGMGGACGTCAGCGCCCTGCAGGATCGTTCAAACGCGTCTTGGCTGGCTGTACACCACCTTAGCGATCGCACGCATGCATGTCAATCCCTGGTCACATGCTACAACTGCAACGTGCATTCAAGAATTTCGACCGACCKAGTTGCAGCAGCCGCTGGCCGACTGCTGTTGTCGTTGCAGGTTGCAGCAGCTCACTATCACCACAGATTACAGAACCTATCACTAATTATAAATTACAATAAACAAATAATTATTATCTTCTTATCGCGTGCGCATGCGGCACAGAACCATAGATCCGATTATAAAAAAATAATAATCCTAAATCACTGMCGAGTGTCCACGAATTTAATAAATTAAACATACGACGTACAAGCTACAAGGTTATTAATTAGAGATTTAGAGCCGTGTAATATTAGTGGATAGGTACCTATTTTAATATCGTAACGAGAACGGCTCTAATCGCGTTCGACTAAATTATCACCAAATTATATTATGCATAGGTTAYATAATATAAACCTCTAATATAACTCATATTATGATTTATTAATCGAAAGTCGAAACGCTCGATAGTTTGAAATGTATAATATCCGTTTAATAATATTAATAGTGTTAGGAATTATCGTGACGTACAATATCGATAACGGTTATAACTATTTGATAAATCATCCCGCCATCAAAACTATATTATAATATTAATGTATCTAAAATAATAATCTATCGATTGTTCAACATTTTGTTCGGATTAATGTTTTATACAAACAAAAATATAAATTATTATCAATTTATCAAAAAAATATAAACTATAAAAAAAAAAATTTAATTTAAAAAAAAATCGTACCAACCTGTTGTTTAAATGTTAAATTAATTTTAATGTAGACAATTTCAACAATCATCATTAATGCATGCAAAAGCGAGTGAGGGTGATGTCTCTTGACTCTTTATCGTCGTAATCGTTTGATAATATTGTTGATAGTTAACCATAAAGAGTAAATAAATAAGATATTATATTATAGTAATATCACAGAACAATTAATATACGAGAATCCTTATTATACATATTTATTAAACGCTGTGATCGATTGTTATCCGCGCATGACGGCGGTTAACAAAAGCATTGTAATAGGTATGCCACAAGGTCACAAGGACTTAACGCTTGAATGCCATAAGTCGCAAGTTCACTACACACAAAGGCTACTTGGTCGGATGGCGTGAGGGAGGGGATAAGGTTTGGTGATGATCACGCCACATTATTATTATTATTAATTTYTACGACATCGTTATTTCGGCCTAAGCAAGACAAACATAGTTTAAAGTTTAAAGGATTGTCTTATTGGATAGTACTAATGGCGGAAATGGAACAATTTAATTTGYGGTTGCGACATAATAGGTATTATTATTTATCACTACCTAGTACCTATATTACATGATTGTTCGCTAAAACTATGTATTTTGTCAGTATTTCAGTGTCGAGTACTATCAAYWACTATCATTATTAAGTATAATATATTAAACTTATAATGTAGTAGGTATTACAGCAGTGTTGGGTAAATAACTTTTTAAAAGTTATAAAATCGTGTTACTTGTTAC